TGTGGGGCACGGGTGGGATCTCTGGGGGCAGGTGGGATCACTGCCTCGCTCACCCCCCCTCCCCCACCCCCGCCAGGTGGAGCGGCACATGTGCGACGGGGACATCGTGATCTTCAACCGCCAGCCCACGCTGCACAAGATGTCCATGATGGGGCACCGGGTGCGCATCCTGCCCTGGTCCACGTTCCGCCTCAACCTCAGGTGAGGGGCACCCCCTCCCCGTCTGGGCTCTCAACCCCCCTCATCCGGGCGGCCCCGTGCCCCCCGTGTGTGGGAGTCCCCCAAGCTGCGGGCGGTGCAGGTCTGTTAACCCAGCCCCCGACGTGACCCCGGCTCGCTGCCATGGGGGCTGGGAGGCTGATCTGCCAGGCACAGCCCCCCCTTCACAGGCTCCGCTCCCCCCCCAGCGTGACCACCCCCTACAACGCCGACTTCGACGGGGATGAGATGAACCTGCACCTGCCCCAGTCGCTGGAGACGCGGGCGGAGATCCAGGAGCTGGCCATGGTGCCCCGCATGATCGTCACCCCCCAGTCCAACCGGCCTGTCATGGGCATCGTGCAGGACACCCTCACCGCCGTCCGCAAATTCACCAAGCGTGATGTCTTCCTGGAGCGGGTGAGCGGGCGCGAATCGCGGGGGGGCGGGGGAGGGCTGGGCCAGCGTCCCATCCCCCCATCTGACGCTCCCCCCCCTTGTCTCCAGGGCGAGGTGATGAACCTGCTCATGTTCCTGTCCACCTGGGATGGCAAGGTGCCCCAGCCGGCCATCCTCAAACCCCGCCCGCTCTGGACGGGCAAACAGATCTTCTCCCTCATCATCCCGGGCCACATCAACTGCATCCGCACCCACAGCACCCACCCCGACGACGAGGACAGCGGGCCCTACAAGCACATCTCGCCCGGCGACACCAAGGTACCCGCCGGGGCCGGGTCCCCCCCTGGGGTGCCACTGAGCGGCTGTGCCCGGCTCTCACGCCCCGTTCCAGCACACACGCCCCCGCTGTCGAATCACACAGCGTCTCCGTGGGAGGACTCAGCTAGGGGGATGCCCAGTGCCCCGTGTGTGTGAACCCCAAATTATATTGGCGGGCGCTGTACAGGCCGATCTGCACCGTGCAAGCTCAGAAAATGTGCCCCCTCCCTCGTGTGGCAGGAGATGTACATGATGTGAATTGCTGTCACGTGGCGGGAATGTTCTTAATGTTTTCTCTGAATGCTGTGTGGGTGCCTCAGTTTCCCCTATGCCTTTCTTAAGTATCTAGGTGGTGGGATAAGGGGGGATGATTGGTGCAGAGGCCTAGAGGGCCAGTGCGATGGTGTCTGCACAGAGAATGGCCGACACCCTGTCTCCTGGCCACTGATGGCCTGGGCCCCTCCCCGGCAAGTGCTGTTGGAGAACAGAGATCAGGTGGCCTCCTGGCCCGGGAAAAAGAGACAGGCCAGAAGAGGGGCTGGAGCGTTTCAGTTTGGAGCTGGCTGGGGAAACTGAGGGAGGCCCAGACTCGGGGCCCCAAGATGGACCTGAGTGAGTTGGTCCTCTTGTCTGTACCTACAAGCTCTGTTTGGGGCCGTGTTCCTGTCGTCTAATAAATCTTCGGTGTTACCGGCTGGCTGAGTCTCACAGTGAATTGCAGGAAGTGGGGGTGACTCCCCCACACTCCGTGACACTGGTGAACCCCAAATTATATTGGCCTGCGCTGTGTAGGCCCATCTGCACCGCGCAAGCTCAGCAAATTCACCCTCTCTGTCGTGTGGCGGGAGATAGACGTGGCTTTTGAGACGAATGGAACAAACTGGGTTCTGAAATCAGCAAGAAATAGATTGAACGACGGGTGGATTTTAAGGGATCGCGAACAGATCAAAGCAGATTCCTTTAGTATAGAAACCGTTCCCGTGGCATAGGGTTATCTCGCGGGGTTCCTCTACCCAGCCACGCGTCGTGACGGCCGGTCTGCCGAGATCTGACTCCTCTCCCGCCAGGTGATCGTGGAGAACGGGGAGCTGATCATGGGTATCCTGTGTAAGAAATCGCTCGGCACCTCGGCGGGCTCCCTGGTCCACATCTCCTACCTGGAGATGGGCCACGACACGACCCGCCTCTTCTACAGCAACATCCAGACCGTCATCAACAACTGGCTGCTCATCGAAGGTGAGTCTGGAGGGAGGCAGCTTCCCACCCCCTGCAGGTGCCCTGCTCCAGCTCCTTGCTGACGGGGCTCCTGCAGAAAGGACTGGCTACTGCTAGGTGCTATGGGGGGTCCCCTGGTCCTTTCTGCAGCACCCCGTCGCCTGGGCACAGCGCGAACCTCCCCCCCCCCCCCCCCCGATCTCCCGGCTGGGCACCTCACAGAGGGAGATAGTCTGTGCACGGAACGCCTTCCGGTCTGCGAGACGGAGGGGGATCGGCCGATGTCAGGAAGGACCCTGATTCCCAGCCCCCCGGCTCTAACCCACCCA